CCGGAAGTTACTTACTTCCGGGTTCGGCAACCAACCGGTTCGCAGGGACCGCCGCGAACCGGTTGAAACCCACCCCTGCTTCCCACCCTACAATTCAAAGGAAGCCTATAGCCTCATTAGAATATGGAAGACTTTAAAACCTGGCTTCTTAAAAAAAAAAAACCTTTACTATATCATAAAGTCCTTTCTCTTTTCTTTTGGACCCCCTATGCCAGGGATGGCGAATGTTTTTCTGCTCGGGTGACAAAAGGGTGCGCGAGCGATAGCGCATGCCACACCCATAATGCAATGCCCCCCGCCCCCGGCGCATGTGCACAGGCCTCACTGAAACCTCCAGACTTCTGATAGGCCCTTGGCATGTTTTCTGCCCTCCCCAGGCTTCAGTAAAGCCTCCTAGAGCCTGGGGATGGTGAAAAACAGTCCAATGGGCCTACTGGAGGTTCGAACTTTTGGTAGGCCCATTGGGCCCATTTTTCAACATCCACAGGCTCTGGAGGCTTTCCTGAAGCCTGGGGAGGGCAAACAATGGCCTCCCCCCACCCTCCAGAAAAATCAGCTGGCCAGTGCGCACATGCACCCTGGAGCTGACACAGGGCAATGCCTCGTGTGCCCTCAGATATGTCTCTGCGTGCCACCTGGCACACATGCCATCCATTCCCCATCACAGCTCTATGCTGTCAGGAAGGAAAAATATGACACTAAGAAATCCAGGAGCTCCTTCTAAGAGGGAGTTATGGCTATCAGTCAATGGATTTGAAAGGCCATCGGCTCCTGTAGACTCCAGCAAGGAAAAGCATGATCTATTCTTACATTGACCTTGATTGTGCCAAGACCTCCACACCTGACAGGAAGGGGACAGGGCTACAGCTTCAGAATCATACCTGTCTCACAGCGTCTCCCGTGGAAACCAGCTGTGCAGGTGCAGTGGAATCCAGCTTTCCTAGCTTCGCAGACACCCCCATTGTGGCAGGGGTTAGGATCACAGTACCCTGAAAAGAGATGACTATAGATCATCATCCTCGGATAGGTACAGCTGATATTTGACTGTGTAAAAGCACGGGCGTAAAATTTGACAATGCAACCATATCAGAAATATGGTTTCATGTAAGATACATTCACAGGGAATGCTGCCCTTGGGGGGAAAATCCTTTGTTTGGGCCATAATACGCAGGCTTAAAAAAATAAATAAACACAATTGAGTCACCTGTTGGCCTTTCCTCCTCCTGACAAAACTTCCATTGTTGGTCTCGGTCATAGTTTTCTGTGGTGGCGCACCTGATAGGGAAGAGTCTCGTCTTATGCAAGGTGTGCAGGGAAGATGGGCCAATGCCACAATTTGCACATTGTGACTTCTCCCCCCCCCTCAAGGTCAATCAAGCCTCCGAGTGTCCTTTTCTCTGCTCCCTGCATGCTCACGAGCTCTCATTATTCCTGTGAGCATTCAATACTTTTCTGGCCAATCAATACTTACCAGCGCTGAGATTTAAGAAGGTCACTAGGGAGACAGTAGTAGTGCATTTTGCGTTGGTAGCGGAAAGGGAAATGACAGGATTCCTCACTGGATGATGTCACTGCAAAGCAAAGGGAGATGGGTCTATTTCTTGGGTTAAAAGGTTGCCCTATAGATGAATAATATAAATGACACAGAGAAAATACAAGCAGGTTATTCTTCTCCCAGCAGCAATCTTTTACCTTTTTATATCCCCCCACCCATCCCTCCTTTATCTATAAATAGTGATCCTTCTTTTCCCATTTTCAAAAATGCCCCTACTTGGTCTCTGCCTGCAGGAAACCATAAACAGTCAGTTCTTTCAAAAACACAGGCAACAATCCTGTAATGAGGCTTCCGCTCCCTTACATTTTTCCCTGGTGAAAAATTATTGCATTTCGTAAGTGCTAATGTGGTGGGGAGATAGTAGAAGCAACCTAGCCTTATTCCTGATACTTTGGGCTGCTACCCATACATCAGCACATTGGCTGCTTCCTGCCCCCCCCCCCTTTGCCCCCTTCTTCTATTCCTATTAAATGTGGCCTAGCCACAACTCTTGCTTTAGCTGTCCTGATTTCCAAGCAACTCTAATGGGGAGATGATGGAGGCAAGATCCAATTTCATGGTGTTGCTCATGGTGTTGTAGTGATCCAACAGTGAAAGATATAGTGCAGCCCTCAAGAAAACATTTTGGGGGAAACTTCCACTTTTAGGCTGAGCTGAAGGGAGTCAGAAGCTCCAAGCTTGAACTTGGTAGGATTGCTCCCTCTCTCTCTCTCTCTCTCTCTCTCTCTCTCTCTCTC